TAAGAGAAGGCAGTAATTATGAAAATTATAGAAGATAAACCTTCACGGTCAGTTCGTACCAAAGCTTTGAACAAAGTTCTCATTTCAATGTCAGAGAGATCTTAGTTTCCGCCAAGGTAAACGGACTAACGTCAATGGCAAAAAGCGCCACTTCACCGGTTGAACGTCCAAGACATTCGCTTTTTATATTCTTCCGAGTAAAATCGAATGACCTTCGGATAAAATATAAATGAAATTGTTAAATACTATTTATCGGATCATTTCTAGAGCGCTGGTAACTTAGTACCTACTTGAACTTGAATGTGTCGGGCCAGTGTTATGTCCGTTGCATTATACAGAGAGGCTTTTCTAAGTGTGTCCATTTTTTTAAATTAAATTCTAAACATTAATAATGTTATATAAAAATGATTAATATTTAAAATCACTCGTAAGTTATTATTTACATTCATTTGAACTTGTCTCAAAAAGTGCATGATTTATACGCAACTCATTTATTTTACATTCGATCGTTTCAAAAGTATACGACGCATTTATGACTGACTACCGCATTGTCAACAAGTTCTGTTTTTTAAGGAATGGAATGGCAATTTCTTTGAAAAAATAAAGTTTGTTTTTATTTCAATAAACGATTATATTACCGAGTCTGAACCTCCTGTGTGAACTTGGGCGCCTTTAGAAAAGCCAACCTGTATATACTTATATCAAATAAAATTATCATTTAATATCCGTTTCACAGAAAAAGCGTGTGCATTCTAAAGTGGTACGGTGTTACTTTGGCAAGAATGAAATACTGGATAGCGGTTCTGGCAGTCCGTGCCAACGATTCTACGCCAAGTCTTGCCAAGTTTCGTTTCGGAAACTTTAGGCGGGTAATAAATTATTGGTTTTTGCTTCGTTAGAGTTTTGCCAAGCGTTATGTATTTTTCTTACCTTTGGAGCATTTTCGTAGAGCCAAGGTAGGCTTCGTGTGCCTGGAATTTTGATACATCCCTCGATTTTTTTTTAAATTTAAAACTTTTCAGATTATATCATCTGTATGTTCGAACGGGTTTCCACTGTCGGATGTGAATGTTGAATTAATTTAAATATCCACACAAATTCCTAATGGAAGAAGTTCTACAAAGCAATAATACAGTAAAATTTTCATAAATGTCCAAAAATTTTCTTTCTTAATACTAAATTAATCGTAAAAGAGAGAATATCTAATAATCACATATTATAAAAGACCGATAAAAATATTGATAATATTACAATCAGTTATAACTGATTGTATACATATATTACAATCAGTTATAACTGTATAGTTATAGTATAGTTATAGTATGTTACAATCAGTTATAACTGTATACAGTTATAAAGATTGATGGATAAGGGGCCTAAGCACACGTCATTCTCGGCGCCATCTTGTTTTATGTCCGGAACGAAATTTGCTTGTAATTATTTTATGGTGACGAGGCCGGCTGTCCTTTTAATGTTGTCACGAAGTGACGATGATGTCCTGTTTTCAAATACAAAAGACGCATTGACGAAGGTATTAAATAAAGGCAAATATTCGCATCACGTACCTATTTGAACCCAACGGAGTGTATAAAGATAGCGAACTTGTAACATATGGGAATCCCATATTTATTGCCAATATTAAATTCGGGGAAGAAGAAATTAAGCGAATTAAAACTGCAAACTGGACCTACTTTTAATCGGAGTCTATTTTAAGATGCTAGAATCTGATTCTGGAATATTGATGTCCCGTTTTCAGAGTTTTTTTATTGTTCTTTTGACAGTTTTTCCTTTTTCACGCCAATTAAATAAAACAGTGATTACATTGTGTTTGACTTGACAATGAACTGACAAGTTTTTGTCGTGCTTACCAAGTATAACTTGTATTATTTTACGGTGGTAGGGCCACGCAGCAGCCTCGGCTGTTGCACGAATGGGCAGGCCCGTCCGGGTAAGTACCGCGACCTCACAGAAGACCGGCGTAAAGTGGAAGTATGACAAATACTTTCGCGTTTCGTCTGGTGAGTGAGGTAGCCGGAGCCCAATTTTCAAAAGGTTGTCAACGCATCTGTAACCCTCGGGTGTGGCAGATGTCCATGGGCGGCGGTATTCACTTAACATCAGGTGAACCGTCTGCTCGTTTGACAACTTTTCGCATAAAAAAAAAAAAAATGTAGCAAAGTGAAGGTCCATTTTTAGTGTTTCGTACTCAAAGAGTAAAACGGGACTCCATTACTAAGATTTCTCTGTCTGTCTGTCTATCCGTTTGTCACTAAGCTGTATCTCATGAACCGTGATAGTTAGACAGTTAAGTCATCGTTCCACCTAGTGGGTGGCTTTCCAACGCTACGTCTTTCGTTTCGTGGTCGCCACTCGAGAACTTTTATTCCCCATTGGTCATCGATTCTTTGACACTTTGTTCCGAATTTGCCACGCAAAGAAACTCCGAGCAAACAATGTAATTTTCATTACGATCGCTGTCTATGAATATTTAATTATACGAATCTTCACCATGTACCTATATTTGAGAGTATATAACGCCATCGTTTCGTTAATCATTATCCGTAAAGAATGACACTGTTATAATCTTAAAGGAGCTGATAAAAGCGTTCTTATGATCAGTTCAATAGCTATGATCCTCGTTCGAAAATCTGAACACGTGGGCCATGATCATTATGTTTAGAATTAAGATTAAGATCTCTTCTAAAAGGACCGTGAATTTTTCGGGAATAGTTGCCTGTTACTCATAAAAAAACGTCGGTCCGTTGTCACATAACTGTTCCGAAGTAATAAGCAAATATTGAAGGGTCTATAAATGTTTGCCATTCACTCATAAAACATACATACACACTAATTCGTAAGAAAAAGCCATTTCGTTCTTCATTAGATTCAATTACATAAATTGTGCTCGAGACGGTAATGCTAATGAAATGTAATAAATCAGCTCGGTATAATTATGAAGGCTCTTTACGGTGTTCGCGTGAATTGCGAAATGTAAGAAACATTCCTTTTGAAGTACGATCACATCGCTTCCCGGGAGTAGCGTGCGCGAGCGGTATTTCGCTAAACGACGCGGAGTTTTTAGTAACTCACTGATTTTGAATATATTTCTTTATTTTTCTTTTCTTTTATCTTTTCTTTTATCTTTTAAAAACATTGACCTCACTTTAGGATAACACTATCCTGTGTTGCAAGTATGGGTTACATACATAAATTTCACGTGGACAAACAGCCAGATCCCACACGGAACAACTATCTGTGGGTCGCACAAATAGTTGTCCCGTGTGGGAATCGAACCCACGACCCTCAACGCCGAAGCCAAATACCTTGGCGACTGCGCCACGGAGTCATCAACATATATATATATATATGTTCCAACATGATAATGCCAGCATTCATAGAGCACATGATGCCCGTCAATGGTTTCAACAAAATAATATCGATGTTCTCGGCTGGCCATCACTCTCCTACGACCTAAATATAATAGAAAATGTATGGGGGTGGTTGTCACGTGAACTTTATAAGAACGGAAAACAATTTAACAATAAACAAGAACTCGAGAAGGGTATAAAAAAGTGTTGGAGCAAACTGCCGATCAAATACATAAGAAGTCTTTATGATTCAATGCCGTCTCGGATTTTTGATTTAATTAAAAAAAAAGGGAAAAAGTCTTAACTATTAATCAATATTTGTTTAAATAAATATTATTCAATTGCAAAAATTTTTGTGTTTTATTTTTGTGGTCCTATTCATGTGACGCGGTGTGTATATATATATTGAAAAGTTGTAAACGAGCAGACGGTTCACCTGATGGTAAGTGAATACCGCCGCCCATGGACATCTGCTACACCCGAGGGTTACAGATGCGTTGACAACCTTTTGAAAATTGAGCTCCGTTCAAAAGTTCACTTCTTTTCTTACAACGTCTCCCGAACTAGTGTGGTTCTTCTATTTTGGTGTCGCTTCTAATTACAAAATCATGAATATAAAGACACAAAGTTTAGGGCCTGAAGAAATTCTCACATCGCCTGAATTTTATTGCGAGGATCTAACTTATAGCCGCGCAATAGTAGTCGGCGTCATGGGTCGATACAAGTACCATTTTTTATTGTAAATGAAATTCTTGTGTACAGGTAGTAAGTAGAGGATGATTCACATGATATTAGAAAAAGTAAAGCGAAAAACTTCACTGAAGAAGAGTATATTAAAGTCCTTTAAATTCTAAAGAAGACTAGAAGACTAATTTTATGTACAATGACTAAAAGTCAGTTACAGAGCATCCGTACAAATTCCAGCCTGTAACTGTCCGGTTGTTTTAGTCTAAATGTTTTTGTGAGACGACAATTGAATTAAGGTGAAAAAGTAGCCCGACTCCTAAACTTGTACTATTTCTCTTAAGTACCATTTATTTTTATATGGAAGTCAGAGTCTTATCAAATTAACTTCTCCACTAGTATTTCTAATGTGTCTCCGCAAAGAAACGTCTTATGTTATTAGCTGACTTTAGTTTGGGTATCTCGTACGAAGTTCTGATTGCTAACAACTTTTTACCGCTTCAAAGTCAATTATTCTATATGAACGGGGATTTATTTTCGCAATATAAGAACTTTCAGGGGATAAAACACGATCGAGGGTTTTTGAGTAAATTAAATTAGGACGAGGATTTATCGAGACGTTTTTAATTTTGATAAAATATATATTAACTCATTCATAACTATTGGAACGTAGTCTATGAACAAAATATTAAAGGTTTCACTTGAATATTTCGGCTATATTATTAAGATTGTATTTAAATCGTTATGTCCCTAAAGAATAGAGTATGTCTTTACTTCAATATATATTTGAATTTACTCATTAGTATTAAGTCTGTAGCGGTCTGTGGTCGGTGGCCTATGGTTTTTGGACTCACCAGGTTGAAATGATGATGACGTGTATAAATTCACTTACCTTATCAACAGGCATGGAAGGGCACGCACGGCACAGGTTCCAGAATGAGCCGATCATCTGGGGGCAGCCTCGGGGGGCGTTGGCGCGGGACAGGGGCTAAGCTCTACGCCCTCCTGGCGAAGGGAACCAGGCGCATGTGACGCTGCTGGAACAAACGGAAATGTCACCTTAGCTATGCGAAATTGGATGAATATCGGAGAGACCATTACTAAGAAGAAAGAGTGTAATAGACTAGCTACTTGTCATGTTACTCAAGTGAAGACATCTAATTTATGTCCGCGCGCTACGCACAGCCAAGTTGTGGAATCAGTTATCGCCGGCAGCATTTCTGGATCGATACGATTTAGAGACCTTCAAGAAGAGAGCTTATTCCTTCCTCGAAGGCCGGCAACACATTAGTGACTCCTCTGGTGTTTGACGGAGCAAAAGCTTAGGGCAAAATAAGGATAAAGTTAAACATAATTATAACTTCATAGAGTGTAAACACTCACTATGTGGGTATTTTTTGTTTTAGTGTGTAGACAATTTGATGATTTCCTAAGGTAGCATTTGTTCAAGACCACACAGAATATAGTCTGTCGGCGTCCAACATCATTCCATTGTCCAATTAAGCAGTTAATACTTTAAGCCTCAAATAATTAGTTTGATCAGTCTAGTAAAGTAAAGTCAAACATAATTAAAACTTTACAGAGTTTAAACACTCGTTAACTGGGTATTTTATGTATTAGTTTGTAAGAAATTTGATGATTTGGTAACCTAACATTTGTTCAAGGTCACACAAAACATCGAAAGTCGACGTCCAACATCGTTCCATTATCCACTTAAGCAGTTAATACTTTAAGCGTCACATAATTAGTTTGAACAGTTGAGTAAACAGTGTTGGACCTAGTTGGGGTCCTTGTAGAACCCCTTGTGTAATTGTGTTTATACTTTTATAATTCTCTTTAAGTAAATATGTTCAATGTCAAAATTTTAATAATATATATAATTGATGATAGTAATTTATGAGGTTACCTTGGAACTATTACTAATTGGAGTAAAACTTATAACATACATTTGAGAATTTATGTGAGTGACAGCCGTTGGCTGAGACGTCTCAAGATTTTCATTAGTCTGACGTCTGTCAGTAAAACCGGTTTTGGGACGTGGGTTTGAACTCTCTGGTGCCTACTTCCAAGTTTATTCATCACATTTGTATATTTGTTTTAATATTTTACACAATTTATTCGAGGTTTCCATCTATTGGTTCTTTTGTTCTAAAGACTGTGTCGTAAAATTAAACCCAATAAAGTATGTAAACCTAGTTTTTATATATCAAATATTCAGGTAATGCCCTGAAACACTGATGTTTAGTACCTGGTTTTGGTAAACACAAACACAACCTAACCTTGTTTTTCCGCTATAATCTAGCTATCTACGATTGTTGTAGACACGTTATACGTGGTGCGTCTACGCTCTTCGCTACGTGGCTACGCTAGACAAAGCGATAGGTGGGTACATTTACATTGACTGTATAATATACAAGTACAATTTATAAATACAAGTACATATAAATTGTAACTTAATACACGAAAACTTATTATTTAATTATAATTTCATTTATTGAACAAAACATATTATTGTTAATTTATGTTTTGTTCAATTAATGAAAAGTTATACAATATACGAATAAGTTGTAATTTGAATACGATATATTATTAATAACATTTATTATAATGATGAAGACTGAAATATATTTTATTTATTGATGTGGCACGATTGATACTGGAGTCAGGACCCATTACCAAGATACAACTAGTCTTTTTCTATACTACCCCAGGGTCATTTATTTAGTCGATGCAATTTAAATTTCCTTTTCATAATGCAACGAAAACAAAGTGCATTTGTTTTGCAATTCAATGCAGAATTTAATGCCGAGTTATCACTCGACGGAATCGAATTCAAACCAGGCACTTAGGTAATGAATGGAGCGATTGAATATGGAGGAAATTAACAAGAGAGGTTTGTAATAGTTAGTTTTGTATAATAGGTTTCTTTAATATTACTGTTTTATTATATGTCAACGTCCTAGCGGCTGGGATTTAAGACATATCGTAAAGGTTGTGTTTTCATTGTCCCGGTTTACGGCGATAAGTGCTATTAGTTAGGTTTGAAACTAAATAATTTTGGTGAAATGTGAACATCACTAGATATCTCTCGCTAATATAAATATTTGCGAGTTTTTATCCCTGTTTGCGGATATGAACGTAACGCGTGAAATCGAAAGAAACAGGACGGAGTGTTTTTAAGGACCTTAAATTTTAATTTGTTTTTCATTCGTCACTCTTCAACCGACTTCGAAAAAAGAGGAGGTTACCACAGAACTTTCGATCGCGTGAACCGATTTTGATGAATCTTTTCTCATTCGAAAACTGGTCCTTCTCATGTGGTACCATATTTCATTGGTATTTGATCTTGGGCTCCGGAGATATTAGGGAATTCCTAAAAATCAATTATAAAATGAATACAGAGCGAGATATTTCAAATATTTGAAGTCGGTTTTGTTTCTAACTGTCTTTGTATATTTTTTTTTCTCTTCCTATACAAGGCAAGACCTTAGCTAAAGGCCCGTAGGCTTCTCAAGCCCCAATAGATCCATCACTAGTGGAATTTGTATCATTGTCCGGCGAGAACAGTGACTATGCCCCAGAATTATGTTTACGATATTAATTGATACAAATTGAGCTGCATCGAATCAATCAATTCGCATTGAAATCCGTATTCGTCTTCTGTTTTCACTTTATATAAAATACGAAAACTAGCTGAGTCTTTGCTTATAATACTTTCTTTACAATAACTGTAGTCGCGAGGAAACGTAACACATTTAATTGTCTCAGAGGGGATAAAAAAGACACCATCGTATACAAAGACCGAATTGCTTTCAATGACATTTTGTTATAAACGGGATTAATTCATGTACTATTATAGTATTTATAAATGTATAAGAATAGCACAACACAAGTAATATATAAGAACTATATAAAGTGACGTACCATAAAATATATTAATGGCGTACACACACATATATCTGCGACTTCACCGGTGTTAGATTTAGAATCAATGACATGTTCAATCTCCTCCCAAAAGAAAATATTGCGGCTAAAACCTATACGAAAATTTGTTATAAGGAAATTATTTGTAATCCCGCCCAGTTTAAACTTGTTAGTGTAGAGGTGAGGAGTGGCAGTTTGACGTTTACACGCTCCACAGAGGCGGTTTTTGGCATAACACGATTCATTGCTTCTGAAATCCCAATTAAAATTCTCTTTGCGGTAATTTGGCTTCTGATTATGCTTGGTGTTAATTTGCAGCGCCTGGTCTGAGCTTGCGTTGATTACAATTTGATTAAGTATAAATATTAGAGAGAGAAATATTAATGAGTATAAGAATAATAATGTATATTCATTATTATTACTGTGGTAGGGCCACGAAACAGTCTTCGCTGTTGCATGAATGGGCAGGTCGACCTCACAGAAGAACAGCGTGAAGTAGAAGTACTACTACTTACTATACACTTCTGCGTTTCATCTGGTGAGTGAGGTAGCCGGGGCCCACTTTTAGGGTGGCAACGCATCTGCAACCCTACGGGTGTTGAAAATGTCCATGGGCGGCGGTCAACATTTAGCATCTGGCGAAGCGCCAGCTCGTTTGCCACTTTGTCACATAAAAAAATCATCATCATCATCAAAAAATCATCACCATCATTAAAAAAATCTTCACCATCATCACCAGCCGCAAGGTGTTCACTGTTAGCTTCTTGGTGGACCGAGGACATTGTACTGTCGCAGGCAAGCGTTGGATGCAAATTGTAGTGGCTTTCGTTGTGGCTTCCTAATGAGGATGCCCATGTTAAAATTAAATATGGTGATTAAATAAAGTAATTAATAAACCCACGTCTTCGGCGACGAATGCCGATTCGATTCTCACAGCGGCGACAATTTTTTCGTACTTTTTCTACAAATTTTAATGTTTAATCTTAAGTGCAGAGATTAGTACTATAATTATAATTAATATTCTAGAAAATTTTCTAAAAAAAAAGAAGTAATTAATCAATTAAATTTTAACACAAATAATTTTAAAAATTTTAAAAAACAAAAAAAAATTATTCTGCTACAGAAAAATGAGATGATTAGATCAGATAGACCCGAATGGCGTAGTGGGTAGTGTAGCTGCCTCCTGCGCCAGAGGGTTTGGGTTCGATCCCCACTACAGGAAAATATTGTGTTACGAGTCTGAACATATAGTGTTTAAGTATGTTTATCAGTTATCTAGTACCCATAGTACAAGATTTGCTTAGTTTAGGACTAGAGAACGTTGTGTAAAAATGTGTCCTAAAGGATTAAATTTATTATTATTATTAAGATAAAAAAACTATTCAGCTCAATATTTTGTCGACAAAATTACTTAAGTTTATCTTGCACAACGTTGCTATTCAATTACGAAATTGAAATTTTTCCCCCTCTTATTCCTTCGCTATTTATCGGGGGCTGCAGTTTACGGACATTTCAATTGTTACGATGAAAATGCACGAATACGAATAAAACATAGATGGGTCGTTGGAATGAGGCCAAGTTGCAATTATGTACGGATCGCAGTTTCGTTTTTGTCTTAAATATACGGTTCAGTCTAGATTTTCGGAGACAATCTAGATTGCAACGGAATGTTTTTCTTTTATTCGATTCGTTGTTGCATTTGAAAAATATTAATACAGCGTAAAAGATAAATGAAATATTCAACTTAAATGAAATGTTTACTGTTAGTGTAATAAATATAATAGATAATAAAATGTTCAATTTAAATGAAACATTTGCTATCTGTCTGATAAATATAATCGATTGTATTATACAATTCTATAGTTTCATGCGTTAGTCATCTTAATGGTCACGTCAGGTCGTTATGATTATTTAAGTAATAAAAAAATACAATTTAAATATAATGTAATTTATTGCCAAATAAATGGTGTTTTAATTAAGCTTATTTTAATAATTACATAAGGCATTGTAATGTTTTTATCGGCAGTTAAAGTAAGAATCAAATTGCCTCTTTCGTAGTTTCATATTCGTTTTTTTAGATTTTTTTACCCATTTAATACACAAAGATGCAAGT